TCTTCTTCTACCCCCATTCCCACCCCACAGGAGATCCGTGTCCTCCACGCCCACATCTCAGACACCTCAGTCGTCGTCACGATGGACAACAGCCGGGACCTGAACATGGACTGCATCATTGCTGAGATCAAGGCTCAGTACGATGATGTTGCCAGCCGCAGCCGTGCTGAGGCTGAGTCCTGGTACCGCAGCAAGGTGAGTGGCACGGGACACCTGCCTCCTAGACGTGGTCCTGGGAGGGATTCGAGGTATATATTAGAAAGGCTTCTTTTGTCTGGGGATCCTGATCCCTAGAGATAGTAACAGAGGGCGGACAGTTCTAAGGTTGGGGTGGCAGAACGGGGCTGCCATGGCTGGTTGCACAGGCCAAACACTGTACAACCTGCACTATCATCCCTGGCATACTTATTGGCTGGCATGTCCCATGCTGAGCCTCAGGAGCATCTGTGCTTCCCCGCAGTGTGAGGAGATGAAGGCCACGGTGATCCGGCACGGGGAGACCCTACGCCGCACCAAGGAGGAGATCAATGAGCTGAAAAATGATCCAGAGGCTGACCGCCGAGGTCGAGAATGCCAAGTGCCAGGTACGGGTCACCTGTGGCCTAGACACCAGAGAGGCTGGGGGCCTCGCCAGGGTCCCATGGGCAATGTCTGCCCAATGTGGATCTCAGCATTCATTCTCCAGCCCATTTGCATGACTAGAGTTGCGGGTTGTGGTCACTCAGGGAGACCCAGGTGATGGAGTGACAGGCCTGTTCCTGGGTGTTCCCAGCTGGCTGGGAGAGCCTGGACACACTCAGGAAATGAACAGAGAGACCCAGAGAAATAACCCACCTTATTCTCTTCTGGATCGCCAGAACACCAAGCTGGAGACTGCAGTGACCCAGGCTGAGCAGCAGGGCGAGACGGCCGTCAGCGACGCACGCTGCAAGCTGGCTGAGCTGGAGGCCGCCCTGCAGAAGGCCAAGCAGGACATGGCCTGCCTGCTCAGGGAGTACCAGGAGGTGATGAACTCCAAGCTGGGCCTGGACATCGAGATCGCCACCTACAGGCGGCTGCTGGAGGGCGAGGAGCAGAGGTAAGGCCCTACCCTGTCTGGCCCTGAGCTTCCATTTATGCACCTTGTGCTAAGGCCTACCTTCTCCTGGCTGAGCAAGGGCCACAGTCTGGACAAACCTGTCATTTATTACCTTGGGGGAGGGGTCATTTTTGGAGGTCCTTTCCCTCAGACCCTTCTCCTAGGTTCTTGACCACTTATGGACTCCTCGCTAAAAATATATGGAGCTCTGTCTGCCACTCTGGTTGAGTCACTAATATTGCCTTTTTCTTCTTCCCTCTCAGACTGTGTGAAGGCGTTGGAGCTGTGAATGTCTGTGAGTAATGTAGGCCCTTTGTTGATGGATTTACTTTCTTCCTGTAAAGGATGGCGGAATCTGGATGGAGGGATTTCTCTGGGACCTAAATAAAATAGAGGGCTGGCATCTCAGCAAGATGGGTTTTGGGTCACAAAGCAGGAAAAACCACAGCTTTGGGATAAGATGAACCTAGAGTTGTCAAGTAAAGATGCTAGGGAAGGTGAGTCTTCGGGGAGGCTGGATGACTCATGCCCGAAATTTTGACTCAGGCTTTGGGGTTCACAGGTGTCAGCAGCTCGCGGGGTGGGGTCGTCTGCGGGGACCTCTGCGTGTCCGGCTCCCGGCCAGTGACCGGCAGTGCTTGCAGCGCCCCCTGCAGTGGGAACCTGGCGGTGAGCACTGGAATGTGCGCGCCCTGCGCACCCTGTGGCCCCTGCAATTCCATCACATCTTGTGGCCTGGGCACCGGAGGTGTGAGCTCCTGCGGCATCAGTTCCTGTGGCGTGGGCTCCTGCACCAGTAGCTGCCGCAAATGTTAGACACCCAACTGAAGCCCCAGCCCTGGTGTCTCTCCTGCCCAGCCCAGCCCCGCTTGGTCCAGTCTCCCTGACCCCAGCCCCCAGGCAAAACAAGCACTCCTTGCTTCTGCACTTTGAAAGGTCCACCCGGCTCCCAGCCTCTAATGTGTATGTGTGATCCCCTCTCCTTTGGCTCTGTCCCCCTTCTTCCCCACCCTGCCCCATCACCCCCCTCCCTGTGCTGGGAAAGGCTACCCCAGAAAGAAGTCCCCTGAGCACTCACAGGAAGGGGGTTCCTTAGGAGGAAGGACCAGGACCAGGAACCTACCCTGGGCTGCCATGGGGCCAATGGCCAGAGTCCCCCAGCTTCTCCCCTTCCTTCTGTCTTCATCTCTGTCTTGATCTGTGTTTCCAATAAATCAATGTAGCCAATCCTGGGCCTTGTCTACACCTCTGTTAACCCAAAGGTGAGGGTTTGGAAGGGTCTTCAAAGTCACATGGAGCAGAGAATGGCCTAGTCTGGCATCTCCAGTACAGTCCTCTGTCCCTGGGCTCACAACAGTCTCAGATTTAGCCAGGGTTGTGGTAGGCCCCCATACGATGTAATTGTATCCACACACCCTTATTGATTTTATCCACACCACCTTTCATGACACATCATGCAGATGAAGAAACCAAAGCTCAGCGACGCACAGTAACTGGGGCAGGGCCCCACACCGAGTTCAGTGGTGAGGCTGGGGTTTGAACTCATGTGCATCTCTAGTGCTCATTTCACCAAACCACAGCTGCCTCCCAGAAAACATCCCTGTGCACCCCTATAAACTGATGGATAATGAAAATTAGATTCCCCAGTCACTCAAAGCTTAAGGAAACATCACTCATTGCTTTGGTGAGAAAGACTCACGCCTGAGTAATTTATTAGAATTCTTTAAGAGATAAATACATGAACATGATTTAAACTTTCAAAAAGCTTTAACATGGCGACTTATTTTATAATGGAGTCCCTTTGAGGTTTGGAGAGCTGCCATAGGTGATAAATTACCTCAAAGACAGAAAACAGCACATAGCAAGATGATGATGTGGCAGAGAGGTGAGCACTCAGACTCTGGGGCCAGATTGCCTAAGCCCAAAGCTGGGCTCTTTTCTTTCCTCGCTGAGTGACCTTGGGCAGTTTGCTTATGCTCTCTGTGCCTTAGTTTCCACATCTTTAGTGAGAACGATAAAAAGAGCACCCACCTCATAGGGTCGATGGGAGGATTAAGGAATTTCATATATGTAAAATGCTTAGACAGTATCTGACACAAAATAACCACAATATGCATTTATCATTAGTACTATTCTTTTACAGAATGTAAAGTAGACTCCTCTCTGGGGATAAGGGCCATGGGCAGCCTCTCATTACACTTATATCTGTGATCAGAGATTGCAAGTACAGAGAGAACTCTCCAAGTCTTCCAGAGCTATTGAGTTTCTTCATTCAGGGTTTCTCCGCTCTAACACCGATGAGGATCTTACAGGTGGGGGGGCGGCGGGGGGAGGCGGAGATGGCCTCTCAGCCTCACTACGGGCCAAGGTGAGTCCTTGAACATCTGTATGGCAGAGCAAATCTCTAAACTTGCAGTCCCAGGCCCAGAAAACTGTAGCAGAAATGTTAATCCCCACTCACATCCCTCAGGGCAACAGAAATAATTATGAATACATATTGAGAGACCAGAAGAGAGTGGTCTGAAAAGAGAAAGGCTCTTTTAAAGGATAGGATCAAACCCAGGTGTCCCAGCCACCATTGTGGCCCCTCCACTCTCCTGATGAAATTCTGAGCAGAATAGGGCCTTGGGAGAGCTCCGGAGTATGCAATTGTCCTAACCAGTCCTCCGTCTGGTGACAGCACCCAGCTCAGAAGCAGGCCCTGTCAGGAGTACAGACCTGAGGCCCAGGAACCTCCATCCCCAAAGCCACCTACAACTCCATTTCTGAGGGACTTCTCATCTCTGTCAAATGACCCCTCCCCCTCCTCATCTCACTGATCTCATCGGTCCAGCTGCAGAATGGTGAAGAAAATGGAACACTCCGCCTGCTACGTGACCTTTAATAAGTCACCTCCCTCTCTGGGCCTCAATGTATCCACTAGTGAAATCAAATTTTGGACTAGATGGCTGCTAAGTTCCTTACCAAGTCAAAGCTCTATTATCCTTTAGGAGAGGTGTGACAGGACCAGGAGCTAGAGGGAAGAAGGGATTCCAGGGGTCATGCAACTGTGCTATGTACGTTCTGTCTTTACCTTCTTTCTGCGTAGCTCACTGTCTAGAGAGAGCTGTCTGTGAGTGGAACAGTTTGATTACATCCAGGTTCATGCATATCTCCAAGCATCTGTGTGGAAATACATTTATGTATATGTGTGACTGTGAGGGTTTCTATATGTATACTCATGTGTGTGAATTTGTGTATATCTGTGTTTAACAATTGAAGAGAAGAATTTTTGGGGTACGTGTGAATATGAGTACAACGTGGTTATAAGTGCACTCATGTACTGGTGAGAGGTTCCAGCTGAGAACTGGGCTAAGATAGAAGTGATGATGGGCAGGTGCTGCTGGGTATCATAGTGGGGAAGTGCCCTCTGACTAGGGAGACCTCGCTCTAACTCTTAGGATTCCCTACCTACCCTCCTGCCCTACAATCATTCTAGCTCTAGCCGGGGCAAAGGGAAGTCAACTGGCCTTAGACTTTGTAGAGTGTTCTTTAAAGGTGCTCAAAAACCCTTCCCAAGTGATCTATTAATTAATTATAAGTGATATGTTAATTATATTTATATAACTCTTACTATGTTTTAGGTGCTTTACATATAATAATGTATTTAATTCTGAAACAACCCTATCATATGTACTATTTTTATTTTACAGATAAACTATGGTGTAGAGAGGTTAAGGAGGGAGGAAAATTAAAGGGATCAATGAATTTTTAAGAGTTAGATCTGGGGAAGGTGGCACAGAAATAGGTGAAGAGTTTTGCCAAGGGAACAGCAAGATTGGGAACACTATCCGGGCCCTTCCTTCCTTACTCCAGGCTGGTCTAGTTGATATATTGCAGCTGGAATAACTTCCAGAAGGACTGCATTTAGACACATCGAGACTCCCAAGAGGTTTCCATAGGGTGAGATATGATAAAGGGGAAGAACGGGCCAAAAACATCCAAGGACAAGGCAGAGCAACCAGGACCATAGAGACTCTATCCGTTCATATCTGCTGTCTGGCAGGCCCTGGAGATGGATGATTGAAATCATCACTGCCCTTGAGGGGCTCGAATAGAGACGCTAACATGGCCAAGTTTCATCTAACATATTAAGTGCAATTAAGTGTGAGACAGGCATCAGGAGCCAACAAAGGGCTGACCCCTGTGGTCCCCTTCCACTGAGAAGCGATGACTGCGCTGGTGATGATGATCCTCCTTCCCTTCAGAAGTCATCCCAGCTCACAAAGCTTAAAAATGGGTTGGTGAATGACTCTCCATAAATGCGCCAGGTAGTTGTCTCCCACCCCAGGCTGGAATGTGGCCTCTGTCCAGGGGTGCCACTCAGAGAATCAGTCTCCAGACCACAAACAGTGCTGGTGACCCATGTGGCCCTGGCCCAGCAAGAGACTCAAACCTGACTTCACAGCCCCTGGAATCTCCTGGACTGACATCAGGCTTGGGATTTGGAAAGGAAAAAATGTGGGCAACAACCAGTCCTCAGTGCTGCAGAAGGCTCATGAGAAATCCTGCTTACAACTCCTGGGGGTATTTTCTTCTGCTCTTTCCACAAATGATCAGCACAGCAGGAGCTGGAAAAACCTGACCTTGAAAATTACAGAATGTCATTACCTTCTAGCAAAACACAGGAAACACAGGGCCCCCTCCTCTGCAAGAAAAAATCAGAAGAGGGGCTCTACTTTCAAGGAGCTACTTTGCACTGAGAATATTGGTAAGAACGTTTATATAGTTGGTGTCCATTAGTGTGGATCAAATGGAGCTGATGCATAAGTCCAGTGGGGCCATGTCCAATACCCTTCAGGTGAGTGGCAGCCTGCCAGTCAAGTTTCAGTCCCATTCCTCTTACATGAGATTGCTGTTTACCAAGGAAGGGGGCCTTTTAAATACCTGTTCTTCAGGCAGAGACCCAGGAAAACACAGCAGACACCCTGGCACTAGCCTACCTTAAAAGGTAAAGCCAGAGTTGTTGGCCAATGACACACCTTAGCCCCACCCAGGGACATAGAAAGCAGGAACCATTGTTCCCCAGAAGTGTTGATGATGTAACCCTTTGTGCAATAGAAAAGAATGTGAGCTCAGTGAACGGAGGCTTCTCTCAGGGCTGTGTGGCAAGAAAAGGACCCAGAAACCCAGCCCTCCTCTGGACACCCCATCTCCCAATTGGCCTGTCTTCTGTCCCCCAATGTCCAGTTGCTTTGTGAAAACTCAAACCAAACTATACTATAGACCTGAGGTAGAGGCAGAGCTGGAACCTTGGGTCTGATTCCAAAGATAGGCTTTCTTCCACCATAATATGTTGTTCCCAGCCCACCATCGGATCACTCATTAAACTAGAACTTGGGCTGGGGCCTGAACCACCCGATTGTGTTCATATCCCCCAGCCCCAATCTGCGAGGGCCATCTTCCGCAGGGCCTGTCCTCAAGTGTCTCTCCCTGCCTGGGCAGTAGAAGCCTTGCCCTCATTCTCATGCCGCTCTACTCTACTTCCGGTCTGTTTCCTTGTTTATGGCCTGTCTCACCACCAGAAGGTCATCTCCAGAGGGCCGTGAGTTGAGTGTTGTCTAGTACTCACCAGGCACTACGCCTGATCCTAAGAAGCTATTCCATAAGTTTTTGTAGAGTGAGCGAGTGGGCGAATGAATGCCATTCTCAGTTCCTCTGCCAAGTAGAGCTAACTGTGGAACCCAAGCTAGGAGGGTTGCTTCTTGGTAGTGGCCTCCAACCCAAATCTGGCCAGCTTTGTCTGCATTCTGGGAATAGCTGAGGAATCCAGGTGCAAACAGCCCAGTGGCTCAGTCTCCTGCAGAACTTTTTATTGCAAAGGAGGAGTCCCAGGAAAATAGGAGAGGGGATACTTTAGAGGGGCAAAACAACATTCCAAGAGTTAATCCTCAGGGGTGAGGGACGGGAAGTAGAGATGAAGTGAGGGCCAGCTCCATGGGAGGGGCGTTGAGACAAAGGGCCAAGTCCCTGGGGGCACAAGCTAAGGTTCTTCGACTTCTGAACAAGGCAGGAAGGGTTCAATATCTGCGGAAGCCTCTGCAGCTGAAGTCTCCAACACAGCCTGGGAGGCCGCAGAGCGCGCAGCCGCCGCCAGGGGCGCTCGTCTCCAGGGCGTCAGAGCCCGCTACCGGCTGCAGCAGGCGGCCAGGGCACGAGGCTGAGATGGGCCTGCAGGTGGGAGGGCTGCCCAGGGCTGAGCGGAGAAGAGCTGTTGGAAGGAGGAAACTCCCTTTCCCCGCTCCGCCCCAGAAGACAGACAGACTCCTGCTCCAGGGGACAATGCACAGACTCATCTCCCTATCAGGAGGCAGTCGTGCAAACTCCCCCAAAGTAATAGATAGACGGACTCCTTCCCCCAAAAAACGGTCTCAGAGAATCCCTCCCTCCCTGAGGTCAGACGTAGAATCTCCCCACCCAAGAATAAAACAGTCTTGTCCACGAGGATAAACCCACAGAACTGCCTCCCACACTCCAGGCAAAACCAACAGGACTTCCCCCCAAAAAAGAGACAACAGGACCCCCTCCTCCCAAATCACACACAGACTCACCTCTAGGAGAAGAAACAGCCTTCCCACCTCCTCCTCCCCACCCCCTCACAAAGGGTGAGAGACACAGATGAAGCAGACCCCTTCTCTCTTGCCGAGAAGACACACAACAAGGGGGTAGGATTAGATCTGACCCCTCTAACCCAATTTACACCTATTATTTACTTACTGCAGCTCCCTGCCCCCAATCCCAGGCCAAGCCTGCAGGGAGAAGGGGGAAGCAGGTGAGTGGATCTATCTCCTAAGTGTAACAGTCTTCATGCTCCAAGACAAAACACTCCTAGCCCTCCCCAGACAGGCAGAAAGCTTTCTATTCTGCATGCTCATTGGTTCTCTCAAATCCTCACAACCCTTTTGAAGAAAGACTCCTTTTGGACCTTTAAACTCAATCTTCACTGCCTTAAATTTAAATAACTCACTTTTATTGATGACTTCTTGGAAAAGGGAGGAGAGAAAAGATCTACACTTTCTTCGGCCTAAACTTCTTGAAAGGGGAGACCGTGGGGGCGGGGACATTTTAAAAGAGACCACAGAGAAGTTAGTTCAGTTATCTGAAGACTATTGTTCAAACCTCACTCAATCCCTTTCTACCTGTGTGTCCTTGAGGTGATCCTTTGCCTTTTCTGAGACTCAGTTTCCTCATCTGTGAAATGGAGATAATAGCATTTCTCCCAGGGTGTTTGTGGGTTTCAAGGAGAAAAATAAATGTATCATGCCTGTTGCATGGTGAGTTCTTTCTCTCTCCCCTCAGTCTGGTGTCCCAGCTAGATGGAGCTGGCAGTCCTTGAGTCTTTACTGCTGTCTAAGGTTAAAAGCCAGGACCTACCTGTTCCCATAAACCCTGACTTCCCCAGGCCCAGGGAAGATGGGCAGAACTGGGAAGAAGGCACTCCACACTGGGGGCCTCATTCCCCCTGGCTGGCCCATGGTCTTTGCAGCTGTCATGGTAGACGAATTGGCCCCTGCTCTCTGATCCTGGGGGCTAATGATTTCATGAGTTGCCCCAGCCCAAGGTGCCATGAGCTCATTAGCTGAGACCGTTTATCTAAAAGGCTGTTAAATGGTGGGGGAAAACTAGCTCCCGAAGAGCAAGTCCCTGGATAGCCAGGTCACCTCCCCGCCCCATCCCCAGAAGGTAAGACCCCAAGAGGTGACCTCCCTGTGCCCCTGCACTCCTCACTGTAGGCATATCTGAAGCACTGCCCAGCCTTCACCTGCTCTCCTCGCTCTCCAGCAGCTTGCGGTAGGTGGCGATCTCAAAGTCCAGGCCCAGCTTGACGATCATGAGTTCCTGGTACTCCCGCAACTGCCGCACCATGTCTTGCTTGGCCTTCTGCAGGGCGGCCTCCAGCCAGGCTAGCTTGCCCTTGGCACTGTCTGAGGCACCCTCCTCCTGCAGAGCTGGTGCGTTCTTGGCTCCCTCTGGTTCACAGGGCTGGGAGCGAAGGGAAGACCATGGACAAAAGGACATCCTTGGACCCCACACCTCCCTCCCCAAGGATCCAGACCTTTCTCAGAAGCTGGAAGGCCAATGAGGATCACAGATTGTTGTGCTAAGTGAGCACGCCTGTTCTGAAACATACATTCGTGTGTCCGCCCTGTTCCTAGGAGGGTGATTTGGGGCTAGCTATCTAGGTTGGCTGAGAGAGAGCCTTTCACATCTATTATGGTGACACTTTTAATATGAGCTCAGATTCTAGAAGCATCAAAGGCTCCTTAGCACATAATGTTGATATTATTGTTTCTCAAGGAAACTAACAAGAAGGCTATCCTGTCCTCATAGGAGACTAGAATTTGTAGTTTGGGGAGGAAAAATAGTAACAACAGTGCTTGCCTTGGTGAGGTGTGCTTGGTACTTAGAAAACCAGTGCGGGGATCAGAGCAGCTATGGGTGGTAGGAAAATGAACCCCAACGTGCCTACTCTCTCACTCTGTCACCCCCAGAACCTGAACAGCTCGCCTTCCCTCCCAAAGTCATCACTTCCTGAAGAAGAGAGAACCCCCATGAGTGTCCCTCAGAGCCTGAAACACTTGTCAAAGAAAAGACCAGAAGCAGAACCCCTCCCTCTGTAGGGTGGAGTGTGAGCGAGGAGAGGCTGACGGAGAGGGAAGCTGGGAGAAAAGAGAGGAGATTGAGAGATAGAGAGGTGGAAAGAAAGAGAGCATTCATGTGGGAACCTCTCTTTTCTTAGGCCTAAGCCTGAGTTGCAAACACAAATGCCTACAGAAGCCTGGCTACAGACATCAAAAGGTAAAGGCCAAATGTTAACTTTGTATCAACAGTATTCAGTTCCACAAAGAAATATGCATGCTCTCATTTTCCTGAAATCCCAGGACCTCTTTCATTTCTCTACTTTGGATAGAAACATAGCCTCAACATCTTTTCTCTGTTACAGGGATAATAACAGCACCTTTGCTCTTCTACAGGTGATGATAAATGGCAAAACCCTCTGCCTCTGTGTCAGAGGAATCAATTCGGAGTGGTGGGAGCTGCAGCACACAAAAGAGCACATCCCTGTGTAAAGATAGAGAAAATAGAGGCCTCTCCTCTCTAGCCAGATGTTGCCATGTGGGATCATAGTCTAATATTGCCAGATCTGCACATTTTTAGAGAACCCAGAAAACTGGCTTTCTAGGTAAGATCTTGTAATTTCTGAAGATGAACTCAAATTTAATGCTATGTAGGATAAAAAAACACACAGACATAAAAATGTACATATACATAAAAACATTATACAAACAAGCATACATATTCATACATATTTACTTTTATGTTAATCACTTATCTATATGAAATACAGGGAGCACTATATAAATGTAAGCATGATATACACATACAGCCACACTCCTATTGCTCAGACATTCACTGTCCATCTATTCCAAAGGAATTGGGGGTGTGCCTAGTCTAGTTGTCATAGATAGTGGACACACCCCTATCTCACCTTATTCCACCCCTGATTCCCACCCCTCACCTGACTCGTATCGAGGTCCACATCCACAGTCAGCTTCTGGATGGCCTGGTTAAGTCTGTTGAGCTCCTCCTTGCTGTGCCTCATGCTCTGCGTATGTCTCTGCACTGTCTCCTTTACCTCCTCACACTGTGGGGTTGGGGCAGCGGTGTAAGCAGGCGGATGGGAAGATGAGGAGAGCGAACAAGAGCACTCGACTGAGGCCAGCGAGACAGTTCCGGTACCCCCCATCCATCTGCTATCACAGGCAGATCATCTAACTTCTCTGGGCTTCTGTTTCTCCATCCGTAACTTGGGGGATATTAATCTTTCCTATTTCTATTTCATTCTCCCAAGGGTTATTGGGAGAATGAAGTGCACTTGGCCGGCACACTGGTGTGTGTTCTATCAGGCCTGGAGATGCCTAAGGTAGCATAAATTCAGGGACAGAGGGCAATGAGGCAGGGCAACGACCTATGGAGTTGAGTCTTTGGACTGAGATCACATAGGGTTTATCCCAGGAATAGGGGTAATTAAACTCTAGGAAATTGTTATTCGCCACTTATATTATCTAAATTAATACTAAAAGCATTTATGAAAATTCAACAATAATCCCTAAATTTTAAAAATACTTTTAAAAACTTAAGAATAGGAATAAACTTCCTTAATTTGATGAATCTTATTAATGAGAGACAGATCCAGATTCCTGCTCCTTCCACAAACCAAAACCACTATGGGAAGGGCTGTCGAAAGGGAAAAAAACAGTGGGCGTTTTCCCATCCTACACCAATACATAAACAGATGGGCACAGTGACTGGTACTGGCACAGTATCTTATACTTTTCAAAGTCTTTTAGTCCACCATCTCACTGGGGCCCACAACCACCTGTGAAGTAGGCCACTTAAATGTTACTGTCTCCATTATCTTTTTCTGGATAAGCTGATGCTCATTACATCTACCATGTAAAGAAGTAGGGGCCCAGAGGGCCATGAGTGACCCTGCCAGTCAACAGCTGAGCTAGATCGAATCTTAAGCCCATGTTCTTTTCTCTATACCCTGAGGGACAGATACACACACACACACACACACACACACACACACACACACACACACACACACCCTTCCACTCAAAGAAGAGAACACACCCTTCAACTCAAAGAATAGGAACTGTTCAGACCAGCCCACTGCACATTTCTTTCCAGGGCAGGTGGGGTCTGGGGACACAGATATGAACAGACTGAAAAACATCTCCTGCAATTTCTGCCCTATTCCCACTGCCCACCCTCTCCTGCTCCCATTCCCAAAAGCTGTAGATGCAGCAGACAAGCTTTTTTGCTTGTCTGGGTGGAGTTAAAGGCCCCTCATCTGGTGTGAACCAATGAGCCATGTGGAAAGTCTCACCATAGTAAACTAAGCTGCAGTCTCCTCCAAGCCTCTGGTAGCACTAAGCCCAGCTCCAGCCCAAGTTGCTCCCAGAATCCTCACTTCTGAAGGCAAGGCCTCTCCTTCGGGGGGCTTTGTGACCTCACCTTATTACAATTGTAGAGTTCTGACGGTGGGGTGCCAGGGGCTGTTCTGTGAGCCCAGATGGGAAATTGAAGGTCCTCGACTGGAAGGAAGGAGAAGGATGGGAAAGAAAGGGTAATTCGCTTGGGAAAAGTGTGTAGAGCTTGGGCTTCTGGAGTGGGCATTGGGGAACCACAGCATGTGCTTGAGCAAGCCAGCCATCTGGTGTGAGGTATGATTTAGGGAGGTCTATTTGATAGCAATGTAGAAGACAGGCAGGAAGGAGAAAGAGTAGGACAGAAGATTCCAGTTCCAAGATAAAGTAGAAAATCTGGGATGATGACTCTAAACTAAAGAAGTAACCAGGGGACCAGAGAACACAAATTGCTGTTGACATTTTCTTTCTGTTTTATAAATTTCTCATACATGCAAAAGAGTATATGTAGCACACACTTAATGATTCAAATGTAACAGTAATGGAACAAATTCTTATCTGCCCACCAGTACCTTCAGAGGCCCACGTAGTATCCTTCCTCATCACAGCATCCTCCATCCCTGACCCCATCGAATCTCCAAAGTCACTACAATTCTCATGATTTTCTTTATTATCTTAACATGTATGAACTCCTAAGCAATCGTTTAGTTTTGCCTACCTTTACACTTTATATAAATAGAATTACACTATGTACTTCTATAAATTCCTTTTTCCTCCTCAACATTCTGTTTGTGAGATTTATTTGTTTTATTTTTCAATGTTGCATAGTATTCTAATTGTGAATAATTCTCTATTTTCTCTTATGAGTATGCATATATATTTTTTTGTTTTTGTTATAACAAACAATGCTGCTATGAACTTTTTGAAACACATCTGCTTGTGTACTTTGGCAAGAGATTCTTTAGGGTACTGGCTGTCAAATTTCTTAAACCACAACTCAGAATAAGAAATATACTTTATATCATAAATCAATGCCTACATACATATTCATGCACATAAACTGAAATGAGTAATTTTTCATTACTTGCTCCTACTATGTACAATGTACTCTGATCCTCAAAGCAATCACCTTAACAAGCTCTTCCATTTTCAATTTATGGCCTCATGTTTTCTCACAAATAGCATATTGATGTTATTATTTATTTAATAATATAAGGAAAATTAAATACCCATGAGCCCACTTATGATGCAAGAACCAAAACATTACCAATAATTTATATCTATCTACATACTACCTTGAATTTGTCATCATTCTCTTGCTTTGTTTTTTATTTTATTTTTTTAGTTTTATCACAGGAAGCACACCTGCCACACAAAGGAACAGCCACCCAGTCACCCATAATTCTAGCATCCTGGAGGACCCATCTCCCCACCCACTTCCACACCAGCCTTTTCCTTCCCACCACACACACACACGCGCGCGCGCACACGCGCGCACACACACACACCAGGATCTCTATTATCAAAATGGCCAAAAGTATTAGTCTAAGTATCCCAAGATCAAGTGGAGAAGTTCTTTCTCATGCCTGGTTTCACCTTGTCAGAGATCAGAATCCTCTCTCAAATGACAAACCTAGGAAATATTCCCTGGCTAACTCTGCTGTTGGTCCATGCCTGTCTGAAATGAACATTGCCCAGGAAGCTTCAGCTGGCCCCAGGAGAGAAAGGGTGGGGGGGGGAGAGAGAAAGAGAGAGAGAGCGAGAGCGAGAGCGAGAGCGAGAGCGAGAGAGAGAGAGAGATATCAAGCTGAAAGTTCCAGATAGCAAGATCATCCCAGATCTTGTTCTGTTCTTGTGTGCTGTTCCTATTTTTTACATACATTTTTTGGGTCTTGTGTGCATGTAGTCCTCCTCCCTCTGATAGGCAGTTCCAAGCCTTGTCCATTTCTCTCTGTGGGGACCCTGCCTGTCTGGACAGAGGTTGTATATAATAACAGTTCTATCAGATCAGGAGCCCCTGCCTTATATGCTTCTCTCGGTGTCTGCTTGTGCCCTGAATGTGTGTCCATCTCCTCTATCAGACTGAGAGCTCATCTAGACCACATCCCTTCTGCCCCTGACTCCCCTTCAGTGCTGAATCCTTAGCATGAGTGAGGTTCAGGAAGTGTGTGAGGGTGTGGTTGGGGCTGGCCATGATGTAGCAGTGGCCAGACCAGAGTCTGCAGGCTGAGACACAACTGAAAGCATGGCCAGAATTATATCTTTAAGTGATCTTACAGGAGCTGGATTTGCAGACTTCACTGAGAGAGCTAAAACAAGATAATCTACATGTCATGGTAACTCTAGGCTGAAGAGATGAAGCAAAAGGAAGAGAAGGATTCTGACCTCTCTCTCATTGCCCATTCCTTTTATAAACCCAGGCATCTGGGTCTGCCTTCCTCGCCAGGCAGCGTGGTCATTATGCTGTCTATGGACTTGGGGAATTTTGGTCAGAGAGGTCATGTAATTTTTCACCTAGATTGTAAGTGGCAGAGCCCAGGCTTAAACCCAGGTGTGTCTGATTCCAGAAACACTCTTGACCACTACACCATGGAAAAAGAAGAAATGTTTTTCTGAAATGGGCACACGGATGTTCAAGATGTTTCATAATAATGGCTTGGGTTATCAAAGTAGATATGCACATACACACTTTACACACACACACACCTTTTATATAGTATCCCTATATCCCTTTGGCTGGCACACCTCTGAGCAAGGCCCTCTCCAGATCAAACACTTCTGATGCTCAGCTCGACATTCTAAGCCCACCTGCCCATCCACCACATCCACCATCTGTTCTCAGCCTGCCTCCTTTCTCCCTGCCCTCATCCATCCCCTGTTTTTCAACTTAAGTGGACTGCCAGCTGCTCCTCTCACATTCTGTGGCTTCCATTGCTTTGTATCTTTTTTTACACCATTCCTTCTCCCTCTCTCATCTCAGCACAACCAGTTCCTCACCACTTTTCAAGCCCAACAAAACTGTCATCTCCTCCAAGGACCCTGAACCTACCTCTGGCCCCAAACCCATGAGCTGGTGGCTCACTCTCCCGACAAGTCCTCCTGGCATGGTATTTCTACATTAGAATCAGACACCCTGCAGTTTTGTATTAAGGCCTTCTATGAATGCCTGCCATGCCTGGGGACCACAGCTTCTCCCCTCACACTCTGAGGTGCTCAGCAGGTCTTTGCTGCCTGTCTTAAATTGGCTCCCGGGGCCTACTGGGGGTAAAAAAGAAACCTGACAACCAAGACAGAGCATTAGCCTTTCATCAATAGACTGGTGGATTGGAAATAAAAGGGACAAGGGAATGATTTCTAGACATCCGGCCAAGAATGGAGCAGCAAGCATAAGTACCGATCCTCTCTACAGAGAAATCTGTCCTTGATTGTATATGAACTCTCTCATGCTTCAGTTCATTTTTCTCCCCTGGATTCCAAGAATAATAAAGGGGACACCAGAGGGTGTGCTTTCCTGAGGCTGGGTGAGGGACACTTTGGGGGACCACTGTGCTCTAGCTATCAAACCTTTCAGTTCCATCCACTTCAGGTTGTTTTCTTAGTGGGCACAACTCAGCCTGCAGCCCTCTGGTCTCTCTGGATTTTAATGCACTTGATTTTCTATCAGAACACGGGCTGATTACTAACCACCTCATTGATGTGAAAGCACAGAAGATCCACTCCATCCACCCGCCAAAACGCAGAAAGAGGTCCAAGCAAGCATCATGTAAGTGCCTCCATAAGTCTAATTTAAGTCCTAGATGCTTCGGGATAAGTACATTTTCTCTTGTGAGGAGACACCAAAGGAAGACTTCTCCAATATTCCATTCTCTGGAGA